CCCCCAAAACCCCAAAACCCCAAAACCCCATTTTATATAAAAAAATTAGAAAATTCATGGCTAAAACAGGTATTTTCTTCATCAAATCCTTTAAACAAACCCCTGGGGATGACTAAAGTATGCAACAGGTTGTAATCCAAGGATTTTATAGCTAAATAAGGTTTATTTTAGTCCCTGACGCTTCTCTTAATAGTCAATACTAGTAAGTTGGGATATAAGGAAACAGACTATATGACTCCATCTGAGTCCAACATGGGTGTGAGGATCCCCAAGTCTATCGACGAAGTAAGTATCTGCAGTTACTAGTGACTAAATCTCTAGATTAACCTGAGCTCTTTGCCTGAAGGCCACTCGATAAAAATATTCCCAAAGGCTTTATACAAAGGAGAATTAGTTAATAATAAGCGACATGGCAAGGGCTTGATGAGTTATGAGAGCGGAAGGTTTTATGACGGAGACTGGCTCAATGACCTCAGAGATGGCAACGGATACGAAAAATATTCTAATGGAAATACCTATGAAGGGGCCTTCAAACAAGGCCGAGCCCATGGCAAAGGCACTTATACCTGGATATCTGGTGATTCATACAATGGACAATGGGAAATGGGCATGAAGCAGGGCCAAGGCGTCTGGAAAACTCTTGACGGAGAATCTTATATCGGAGAATGGTAGTTTTAGAAATTATACTTTAGGGACCAAAGCAAGCCTCATGGCTATGGGATCCACATCTGGAAGCAAGGTGATCGTTACGAAGGACAGTGGCAGCATGGCCTCAAGCACGGTAAAGGAACAGATGTATTCGCCTCAGGAGATATGTACATAGGACAATACTCTCTTGGTAAGTTTTCTAAATCCTTATCATTATTTAGGTAAGCCAACTGGAGAAGGTACTTACCTCTGGACAAGTGGAAGTTTATACAAAGGCAGTTTCTTCAATGGCATCAAGCATGGCAAAGGCAAATGGATCAAAAATAAATTTGATCCCAACTCTAATAATTATGAAGGAGAATACTTTAATGATAAAAAGAATGGCTATGGCGTCTTCAAATGGAAGAGCGGAAACATTTATAAAGGAAATTATAAAGAAGACCTTAGAGATGGATATGGGGAAATGCATTGGACTGATGGTTCTATCTATAAAGGAGAGTGGGTAAAAGGTATCCAGCATGGCTATGGAGAGATGATCTTCCCTGACGGGAAAAGAAAATCTGGAATTTTCGAAAATAACACCTTTGTTGGAAGAGCTGAGAGTAATCAAAGATCAAGGCTTAATATCTCAAGAAGTAGGTCTAAAGGGAAGCTCTCTCATGAGAAATATAAAGAACGATCTTTTGACTCAAGAAAAAGTATAAATAAATCTCCTCAGATAACTTATAAAAATAACAGCTTAGAAGTTGATCGAACTATCAGATATTCAAGTGTTAAAAGGAAAGATAAAAGAAAGCAGAAAAACAATTCTACTCTAAAGCATAGATACGATCATCTCCCTTATATTGATCGTATGCCTCGTACGAACCACGGTTCACGAGAACCAATGAGGTTTTAATAAGTTGAACCAGACCAGATCTAATTTCTCTAAAATAATCTATGAAAACCTGAGGTACCCAAGCCAGAAGAGAGGAGGTAAGAAGAGAAAGCAGGAAGGCAAGCCTATCTGGAGGCCTGTAGGCAACATCCCGGCTAGGGATGGCTACTCAGTCATTAGGAAGATGTACTATTAGACCACTATTATTCAATTTTTCCGAATCCTGTGGGGTTTTGGGGTTTTGGGGTTTTGGGGG